CAACAGCAAAAAAATAAACTTTTTACTCTCTCACTCCCTGTTTAAAAAGACAGTTGCAGTATACAGGTGTATGCTGTTACTTACCGAGCAGCCAGCCATCTGGCTGTGAGTTCCATCCGAATCATGATCATAATGAACAGAACCATTATTAACCATGGCAGAAATGAAGGGATGTTCATGCTAAAAATAAAACAAAAGTTAACACTAGCATCAAATGGCATAGATAGAGGAAGTATTATGTATCTTGTGCCAAAAGTACTTTCTGAAAAAAATATTGATCCCCTCTTCAACCCTGTGCTCTAGCAGAGCCAGCTGGCCAATGGCACCCACATTTTGCTCCCAGGGGAACAGAAAATCTTAGTTTTCTCATAGACTCATAGAAATCATATGCCAGGCACATTAGATTTCACAGTTTTAGAGTACTGGGCTCTTTTAATTTTTCTTAGAGCACAGCCTTGCCTCTTTCACAATGGCAAATGAGACAAAGAGGAAAAGGTTCACTTAGCCACTTTCTGTTTCTTTCAAACAAACCTTTGTAATATGGTACATGTACCTGATGTTCTCCATTATGATTACTGTATGTGTCAAAGAATATGCCAAGACCATAGAAATAATCTTTGCTGCCAAATACACTGCCTGAAAGAACAAAGGCAAGAAAATAATCATGATTACCTTCAAATACATTATTATAAAAGTTGTAATTGTGCTCAACAGTCTAACAGCTGTTAATCTAACTTCAAATTACTTTTAACAGGCAAGCAATACAGTCAAACCTCCATGTGCGACCACCTCTCGTAAGCGACCACCTCCCGTAAGTGACTGGCTATCCAAAACACCAAACCTTTTCCAGTCAAAGCCTTCCAATTGGAACCTCATAAACGACAACCTCCTGTAAGCGACCACGACCAATATTTGGGGCTTACAGTTTAATGATTTCCATTGTTTTTAACCCCTTGTGAGCAACCACTTGATGATTTGTGTGATCTCTTATGTTTGCTGTGTGTACTATGTTACTTAGAATAAGCAAAGAATTTTAGAAACAATCTGGAACTACACATGTTGTAACTTGTTGTAAATTGTATGCAATAAATTATTTTTCATAAAGTAGATGTGTCCGTACATCTTCTCAGAAGAGACCCCTGTCGTTTGATTCTTGTAAGCAACCACCTCCCGTAAGCAACCACTAAGTCTTTGCATCTTGGGTAGTCGCTCATGGGAGGTTCAACTGTATACTCAACCAAAACGTACAGCCCACCGATTTGAAACAACTGCATTTGAAGCTTTAAGATATTTTTAATGCTTTTTACTGGTAAATCACCTTGATATATTAAGCTTGGAAATCTTTTCATCTATTACTGTTAAATGTTAATTTACTGTGATTTGAAGTCAGCTGTGCGAAATCGCACCATCACTTAAAATCAGAAGCCCTGATTCACATGAAGGACTGACGTCAAAAAAGTAGACTAGGAAGGTAACAGCTACAAGGGATTTTCATCAGGGACTCAGTGGTAAATGCTTTGCCCCATGCTGGAGGAGGTTGTAATACCAGCCCATTAACAAAGCGGAACAGAAAACTTAATACTTTTCCTACTTAAAATCAAGTTAACTCAGGGTCGGATTTTTCAAAGCTGAGATAAGATAACCCAAGGTTAGCCAGTCTGTGAATTGAATTCACATAATATGAAAGCTTAAAATAAATTAATAGCAACAACTAACATTCCCTTTGTTTACAATTTGTTGAGAGGATGCTCTAAACAGAATTATAGAGAAAATTATTGGGTGCTCTTGAACAAAGAAAAAGAAACTCAGATTAAAATTTATCTCCAGGTTAGCACTAACGGCCTTCAAACAACTGGGCCCTGGCTTCAGTTGTTCAAAAGGTGGATAGTGCTATCCACCGGATAAAATTATCTCTAACACTGAATAGCGCAATTGGTTTCCCTAAATACCTATCCACTGGATAGTGATTTATCCGATGGATAGCGCTATCCAGCTTTGAACAACTGGGGCCAGGTCTGTCAATGGCTCAGTCAATTCCAAGCATGCCTGTATTTCAGGAGCAAACAAAAGTCACATCGATTATGTAAACATTAGTTTCTCAACCTTACCGTCTTGCATTCTTTCTCTGCTATACCAAAATGCAAATCCATCTCCATACAATGCATCTCCAGTTCCATGAACTTTAAAGTGGAGCAATACTTCCCAGTCTTTAACATGACATGGCTAACAAAAAAAAGTCAAATAACTGAGTAATCTCAGCACAGGAATCCCAATACACCCCAAATGCATGTTCTTGGAATGCTATCTAGTTGTCAAACAAACTTTTTTAAGCCACAGCTGCGGGAGAAACAAGGAGATAATTAATGAAAGATGGGCACACCCAGATGAAGAACTGAATGTTGGACCAATGAGTGAAAGGCCCACAGAGGATCAGTGCATATGGAAAGTGAAACTAGACAGTATCAGCACCTTTTGCACTTTAACTGTGAAAATTCTGGATATGGCAGATAATGTTATCCAATTATGTTTCTTACGTAGTGAGACATATCATCTCGCAAGTCAGTAAGTAGGATGCACATAGGGAATATAATATTATAATATTATTATTCTTTTACGTGACCTACCACAGTATTCCAAATAGCACCTCTCTTACTCTGGTGGTCAGGTGTCAATCTAATATAGCTACTTGATATAAAAGTATTTCCATGGAAATCCCAGTATGGTATAGACGGACCAGAGCCTACGAAAAAAGGCAGTGAAAGAATGTTTACACCACATTATAATATTATTCTTCTACAAACGTGCATTAATAATAATAAAAGAAAGAGTGGCAAAAAAAAAACTGTCTTTGTCTGTCAAAGGTAACCCTTCTGCCATTTAAATATGTAACAGGCAAACCATGTGTTTCCTACCTTTGTTTACAAAAGAAATGGGTTATTCTAGAGGAAGGGTTACCCTGTCTGCTCCCAACCCTGCCAGGTAGGGAGTGGGGAGGTACTCATAAATTTCAGATAGATGACTGTGCCACCCATGGTCTTAAAAACTGACCCTATTTAGGGATGAGACAAAAGAAAATTGATACCCTAAATGTGCATTATGTGTTTTGGGTCCAAACCCGAAAAAAACTCCCTACTCAGTGGAAAAAAGGTAAGAAATAACAATCAAATAGCAAGACAGAAACTTTCATCCTTTTCATTATACTAGGAGATGATTAATTTCACATGTAGCTGGGGAATGTTCTGCACTTGAAATTAGCTGATACAATCTAGGCACCCTATATAAGGATCACACTGAGAACACGATGCCAACAAGTGTAAAAATGATACCCTTTTGTGAGGATCCATACCCTAAAAAAATTCACTTTATTTGAGTGGCAATGTAGGAAAGAACTAACTGGGGTCCCCGGGGGGGGGGGGGGGGAACCCCCATACTTTGCCTATAGGGGGGGGGGCCGCCCAAGGGGGGGGGGTTTTTGAAGCTCCGGGTTTAGCAGGGGGTACCCTTTTCGGGGGGGTTTTTTAAAAGGGGGTAGAAGGTTGGGGAGGGGGCGGGGGGGGGAAGGGGG